AATTGGGTTTGACAAAAGCAGATTGTAGGGATCTACAAAATCAAATGTCCCTGATCAATAGTTTGTTCACTCAAATGCTTTTAGGAGCTTCTTCCGCCGACATGGATCTCGACAGATTGTCACAATTATTACAGGTATCAATCAATTAATTTTACAATCATTCGTTCGTAGACATATAAATAATTATATTATTTTCGATGTTATTTTTATCAATTAGGAAAATCGTGATCTCATAACTGACATAGCTAGGGACAATGGAACCGAGGCTGCTGCACTTCCAAAACTATTGTTGGATCTGGTGGAACAGGTTGACGGTAATAAAGGATTACAAAAACGTAATGAAGATGATCAACAGCACGAGGAAATTGCTCACAATTTACCGAAGGTTTTTTTTTCTTTTTTATCAATACATTATCAGTTTTGTTTTCTTCCTTTATCTTCTTTTGTTTGTCAACAATAAAGGTATGGCGCGTTTTGTTGGAACTATTGAGTTGTCATGCTGCTGCCTCGCAAAATGCATCGGCAACTTCCTCCTCGGATTCAAACAGTTGTTACAAATCGGTCGACACACCAACTGGCCCGAAATTGGTTATATCGGTTAGTAAGACTTACATTCATTTGAAGGAATTAATCCTTGAGAAGAAACATTTGGAAAAGGAAATGAATCGAATGAAACAATTGAATACACATTTGGAAAGCAAACTAGGTGAACAGGCAAGTTTATATGATTTTATTATTTGTAATATTTCTCTTTCTTTCTTTCTTTCTTTCTTTCTTTCTTTCTTTTTCCTATTGTTTTTCTTTTCTAATAAATATCTATACGTTTATATATATGTACATATATATATATATTTACAGGAAAAGAGACTGTCAGATGTTACTGCCGAATTAAGCAAGACATGGAATATTGTTGGACGAATGCAAGCACAACATCAGCAATTGCATACGCATGAGAAAATTCTTAGATACGAGTTACAACAAAAACGTAAGATGTTACAGGAATTGAAATTAGAATTGGAATATTGCAGAGAAAAATGGGAATCGGCGAGACAGAAGAATACTAATACCGAATTAGAATGGCGCAGTTTAAGACGTGAATTTGCGGCAAGAAAAATGTTATCCGTACATGATTCTGTTAATAACAGGTAAATATATTTTACAATATTAATTTTACACATTTATCATTTGTAATCATCATAGATAAGCATATTTCTTATTTATTTAAATACTTTTAATTTAGCGCCGAGAGTGGATTTAGCGATGAACGAGGCGATGATACAGACGAAGAGGATGAAACTGTCGAAGACAGAGTCCGAATGGGTTTAACAAGAAGAAATAGAAAGGTCAATAACGATAATCTTATCATAATACTATATTAATAGATTAAATAATTCTAATTTTTATTAGGATATAAAATGCGTTTACTTAAATAATATAGATCGTTTAATTAACGTTTTAGGAAAGTCCCAAAACTACGACAATGTCAACGGCAGAGTTAGAACAATCTTCTAATGATAACGAATTAGAAGAGGATAGTTCTTCTATTGCTTCAACGATTCAAGTATCCGTATCTAAACAAGATATTAAATTAGATGATGTTAAGATCTTGGATACGGTATCATCAATGGAACCTACAACTACTCAAGAATCTAACGTACGTCTTTCCTTTTTTCCTTTTATTTTCATTAATCAAATTTTACATTGTAATAACAATAATAATAATAATAATAATCGATAACACTTTTTTCTTTTTTTTTTTCTTTTCTTATTTGTTTGTTTGTCTTTTATAGCTCGCGTCAGATGTTTTGCAACAATCTTTAGATCCCTTGGATCAAGCTTTGACCACCGTAATACGTAATCTTATAAGGATCGACGATGACGGAGAATCGAGTAGCGACGAATTCAATTCAAGAGAAAACATTACATTGCCATTTATAAGTTATATCGATAACGTAACATCCGAAGATAATCAACAGGATCATAATGATGATCTATCGATCGAAATAGACTGTCCTAGTAATAACGAAACGAAAGATAATATAGATATTCAATCGTGTTATTCTACGTCCGATAGAAATACATTGGATATTTCTAACGTTACCAATGACAATGTCGAAATGACAATAAAATTAAACTCGAATGATACATCAGATAATCGAAATAATGTTATATCTAAGAACGACGTAACTATGATAATTGAAAATGTATCTAATAATGATATTCCATTGATATCATCAAGTCCAACGCCAATATTTTCAATTGGACCATTTCCTGTAACAAAAAATAACAATTCATCGACTAATCAATTGTTTACACCGATATTAAATGTATCGAATGAAATTAATTCGACGATAGACGATAGATCGTCTGGTTTAATGAATATAAAAGAGGACGAATCATCGTCGTCATCATCGTCATCGTCATTATTGTTAATAAATATTAACGATAACGATAATAAATCGACATTGAATTTAGACTCGAAAGATTCCAACGAAGAGGTATCTTCTGTCAAGAACGAAGATACTGAGAACGAAAAGGAATCGAAACCAAAGTCAGATTTAATTAATACACCTGAACAAGTATTGACGGCACGTGCTGACAGATTAAAACGTTTGGAAGAACAAGCTGAATGGTTGATGAAAAAGATGAATGATACTAATAGAAGAGGTTCTGCACTTAGCACGAGATTGGAAGCATTACATGAAACTTATGGTGAACCATCGGCTCCGGTTCCGGACGTTCTGCAAAATCGACAATTAAGATCAACAACCACCCCTTCGTCCAATCTTATTCAAGTATTATTATCGATTAAAATTTTAATCTATAAAAATCTATAAAAATATTCAAATAAAATTTTTCTATATTTAATATAATTATCGTTCAACAGGGAAATGCATCGTCCTGTAACGAAGATAATAAAAATCATCAAACGTCGAGTGAAGATAAGGATATCGATAAATCAGTCGATGATGATAAATAAATCATAATGGATTCTGCGAGAATTAAAAAACTAAAGAAAATATACAAATGATAAATCCATTATTGTTTATAATTCTTCTTCTTCTTTTTTTTTTCTTTTCTTTTCTTTTCTTTTTTTTTTTTTAGTCTATTTTTTACCGGTACACTTCGTGTTTAAGCATTAATAAGATTGTTGATATATTATCTGTTGTTCCTATTTATAATTAAGAATGAATGAAATGTACAAATTTAATCAAACTTAATGTTACCAAAGATGTATCATGATGATCCAATGGTTATAATAAATATAATATCCCAGATATATATATATATATATATATATATATATATACACACACATATATATATAGAGTCTTATCTTCAATTTTTCTTCACGTATATTTATAATCTACAAATAAGAAATATAATCAATAAAATATGGATATTTTATTGTGATCTTTCCCACACCGTATTTGTATCTCAAAAGTCATAGTATCAAATCCCAATATAATCGAGATCTTTCTGGCGTCACATTTCATAGTATTTTTATATTGTGATATTAATAACGGCCAGAGTTTAGAGACCGAAAAACATCGAGTTTACAATTTGAAATATTTTTGAATTATAATTATAAAGTACAAAAGAAGAAATACAATCAAGCGTATATAAACAATTCTCACAATTTTAATTCTTGATATTAAAATAATTATCACATTTATATAATTATATTACCATTATTATATTTTGTTGATATAATTAATGCAATTGTTCTATATATTTTTAATTGTACAAAAATAATATAAAATATATATCGAACGTAAAGATATTCTATGATTGAAATATATAATTTTTATGAATAATAATGCACGTGACTCGTTAATAATTTTTTTCATTTTCAATGTAAAACTTGTAAAAAAGAAAAAAAAAGAAAAAAGAGAAAAGAAAAAAATATTACAACGACATATTAACTCTACAATATAAATTTCTAAGTCTATCAGATGTGTCAGTATCCGTATACCTAAATAGAATTTCTAAATAATACCCTTTCTCCTTTTCTTATTATCTAAAAATAATAATGTCAAATGTCGAAGATGATTGAAAAGTTTTAAAATAAAGCTAAGCGTTAATCACGTAAGACATTATTCATAGATACGAATAAATTAATAATATTTTTATTAACATCCTTCAATCCATTTACAATTTCAATTATGTTACTGACGAACGTTTAGAATTTATGAAAATTAAGGAAAAAATATAAATTACAACGCGAATCATGACGCAATATATTTAAAAAAAAAAAAAAAAAAAAAAAAAAAAAAAAAAAAAAAAAAAAAAAAAAACGTAGCCATCGAAACGTTTCAAACCTATGACATTCCCCTCCATTCCACCCTAATCCCAATTCCTCTCCCCCACTTCTACCCCCCATTCGTCCTAATCAAATACGATTAATAAAATTACACTGATATTTCTATCCTAAAAATATAAATCCAAATAAAAAAATTATTCAATAAAATAAACCATTTCTATTTTCCCTGTCCTATTAATACCAAACGACAATCTGAAATGTAATGATGTCATTGAAAAAAGATTAAATGAAAGTATCGTTATCACATCGAAGATTATTCCAAGATAATTATAAAACCTTCTTCGAAGAAAAGGAAAAAAAAAGGAAAAGGAAAAAGAAAAAAGAGAAAGAAAAAGAAAAGAAAGAGAAAGGAGGGAGGAAGGAAAGAAAATGTTAATAATAGACGTTAAAATCTAGAAAAGAATTTTCATCTAAATAACAGATAATCTCTAACTATTTCTAAATACTTAATCCAATAAGATGAAACGGAAGGAAACTATAAAGGAATCCGGTAGACAAGATGATAATAGAAAAGAGGGTATATGTACATGCGTATCTATGTATGGTATGTATGTATGTATGTACGTATGTATATACGTATGTATGTATGTATGTATGTATGTATGTATGTATGTATGTATGGTATGTATGTATATATGTATCGTTTTTCTCATAGACATTGCTGTACGTTGCGTTACGTTGGTCATCCTCATCTTCATCCTCATCTTTATCCGTTGTCGTTGTCGTTGTCGTTTTCGTTGTCGTTGTCGTCGTTGTGATCGTAACGGTGGCAAACTCGCTGTCCGAAAATTCAAAAATAGCTAAGGCGTGTTAGTCAGTGCGACGATGTCGACGGGGAACGACGACGGTTCGGCGGTAAGATTCGGTCGGTGGTGTTGGTGCTGGCGAAGAAGAAGGCGGAGTAGTAATAGCATAACTACGGCTGGCTCCTTCTTCTCCTCTTCGTTAATATCCTTAAAAACGATGTTAATCATTTTGACGATTTTCCTCGCGTTAACGGGAACGATCGGTCGCGTCGACGCCGTCGCAAGGACGAAACAACATGACGATACTTCAGGATCTCGGGGTGGTAGTAAGACCGGTGGTGCTAACAAGGACGGGGAATCTGTGATCGAAGAAGTTACTGCCAAACAACTCGAGAGAATCCTTAATGATAAGGATTTCGTTGCTGTGTTTTGGTGTAAGTGTCAGCCATTGTTAAAACCATATATGTATATATATATATATATATGTATATATATATCGTCATCGTTGATATACACAAATAATTCCATTTTTTATTGTGACTTAATAGTGTCGTTATATACTTTTTTTCTATTGTTAATAAACAAGAGATATGAAAAAAAAAATGGAAAGAGATAGATAGAAAGAGAGGGAGGGAAGAAGGGAGAGAAAGAGAGAGAGAGAGAGAGAGAGAGAGAGAGAGAGAGAGAGAGAGACATCTACCAGGCTCGCATTGTTTTAAAAATAAAAAAAAAGTGTTTGAACTATCAGATCGAAATTATCATTAATAGTGATTATTTTTATTATTATTATTATTATTATTATTATTATTATTATTATTATTATTATTATTATTATTATTATTATTATAATATCTCACCGATGTTTCAAAGGATTGATTAATGTTATCTTAGAATTATATAAAATCGGAAATTATTTTAACGTTTATTTAGAATATGGCCGTCAGGTCGTTTTCAACTATACACCTATCGAATCGTCGTCATTCATAGCTCGTAATCGTGAACATAACATAGTTCTATAATACTGTTTTGCAGGATAGCGATGCGCTGACGTAAACGTTAGGAAGAGAATTTATTGGAAGGATTTCAAGAATATTTAACTTCTTCTCTTCGTATATCTTATTGCATAAACGTTAACGTAATCGTAATTACATTGTTACGAATACAAACATAGAAAATATTATAGAGGGGGAGGAAAATAGAATCTTGTATTTTATGTTTTAGATATATAGATATATACGTATACGTACATATATATATATATATAAAGAGAGAGAGAGAGAGAGAGAGGAGTCTGTTTAGTCAGTGGTTGTTAACATTAAGCTTTCTCTCACGTTTATTAACGTGGGTTGTTAACAGACAGATTCCTCGGAAAAATGATATGGATGATATCAAGAGCCATACGTTCACCTTGGAAAATTTATTTGAATCAAAAAGGAACCCGCCAGGTCGGTTCTACTTATAGGTTACTACTACTACTACTACTACTACTACTACTACTACTACTACTACTATTGGCGATCATATTACATCGTGTTAATTTTTTCTTTTCATTTCCTTTTCCTTCCTTTTTTCTTAAAGCATAATTAATTTTCATTACTTCTCGAAGGTGAAAACATATTAATATCTATAAATAGAAGTGAGCGTCCTAATCGTATATTATAAAAAAAAAATTTTTCTCCATTTCTTCCTCTTTCTTTTTCCAATCTTTTTTTTTTTTAATTTATTTTCACAATAATTAGAATTAAGAATTAATAGCGATCGAAAATGATACGATGATATTATACGTTTTCAAACCACGTGGACGTGCATACGTGTTCGTGCGTATATATATATATATATATATATATATATATGTGTGTATACGTATATGTGTATGTACCTGGGCACGTGTGCGCGAGTGCGTATAATTTTTATAAATTTCATATCTTTTATATATTTTTCTTTCCTTTTTTTTTTTTTCTTTTTCCCCTTTTTCTTTCCATTCTCTTTCTCTCGAGCGATACTGATTCATACGGGAAAGAGATTATATAACTATGAATTTCATTGAAAATAATATAGAAAGGATAATATGTCGATTGATCGATGATTTTATTCGTATAAAAAATTCTTTCTCCTTTTTATTTCCTTTTTCTCTCTTTTTCTTTTCTTTTTTTTTTCTTTTCTTTTCTTCTTTTTTAAATGAAAAATCCATCCAAATACAATGCACAAAATTGAAATTTTGCAAATTAAATGAATCAAATTAAATTCACAATAATGAACTCCATTAAAAGGTTACATATCATTCGGTTCAGCGACTTCGGATTAACTTGGCACTTGATTCTCGTCTTAAGAAATAGTATAAAATTTTAAATACTACACTTTAACTAACTAAAGCTTTGGATGGAAAATCGTTTACTATCTCGAATTCATGATCACTGTATGTACACGATTTAAGAAGGAATTATGACCTTCTCTCTCTCTCTCTCTCTATCTCTCGCTCTCTCTATCTTTCTCTCTCTCTCTAGAAAGAGAGACATCAAGGTAACTCTCCTATGTGATATAACAGATACAGAGAATTTTCGCTGTTTCTTGCCAAGTTTAATCCACCCAGTGGGAAAGAAATTCCGATTGTACATACGTACATAATTATACGCGATATGTGCTTCATTATAATGAATTATGAAAGAAGAGAGATGATTTAAAGAGAGGAGAGGGGAGCGGGGGGAAGGAAGGGGGAGGGGAAATAATATAACGATGTGGGATATAACATACACGTGCTTCGTAATAGTAACTCTTCGAGATTGATTTAAATGAATATACATATAAAGAGAGAGAGAGAGAGAGAGAGAGAGAAAGGGAAGAAATAATAATAAAAAAAAGAGACAATGAATAAAAATCAATCCGATGACGAATTGAAGATATATATTTTTTTTTTTTTTAATATAAACCATGAGAGATTTAATCGAAGATATATGAATTAAAACGAGAGAATTTCTAAAACTTTTTTAAAAATTGATATATCTTTAAAATGCACATACATACAGGCGCGCGCACATGAAGATCAGCGTACGAATATATGTAATGCTTAATGATTTTTGAAAAAGAAAGAAAAGAAAAAAGAAGAAACGGAAAAAATGGAAAAAAGAAAAAAACATAAAGAAATAAACAAAAATTAATAAATAAAAAGAATAAAAATCATTATATTTATGTGAATGATTATCGTTATGTGGAAAAACGATATGTATGTAAATACATATATCGTACGAATTTCGTATATAGGAATCAGTCTAAAGAGTGGGTACTTGATTCTTAAAGGCGCTGTAGCAAGGCCGGCACTCTGCCGCATTTAGAACCCGTTCGAGTTATTTTGGCTTTTGCCTCCAAGCTCTCTCTCTCTCTCTCTCTCTCTCTCTCTCTCTATCTATCTATCTATTTCTCTATCTCTCTTTCTTTCTCCCTCTTTCGTGCTACCCAACTAATCAGAAAAGCTTCACTACTACCCTGTGTCTATGAATTTCGATGATACATACGTTTACCACTTATGTATGTTGCTATTGGCTTAGTCACGTGATCGAATAAAAAGATGAAGAAAATTATTATCCAAAAGAAGAAGAAGGAGAAGAAGAAGAAGAAGAAGAAGAAGAAGAAGAAGAAGAGGAAGAAGAGGAAGAAGAGGAAAGGAAAGGAAGAAGATGAGAAGAAAAGTGAGGGAAGAAAGAAAAAGTTACGAAAAAAGGACAAGGAAAAAAAAAAGAGAGAGAGAGAGAGAGAGAAAAAGATAAAGATGAGAAGTAAGAAAGGTTTCGTGTAGAAACCCGGGCAACAAATCGTTGCGGTTCGTCGACGATGTCTTCGAACGCACTTTATACGCGTGTATACGTAAAGGAGGAGGACCCGGACCACGAGCTCTCACGTCGAACCTATTTCCAGCTGGCACGTTCTCCCGCTCTCATCGTCTCGTGCCGCCTCAGAGGCTATCTTTTTCTTTTCCTTTTTTTTCTTCTTCTTCTTCTTCTTCTTCTTCTTCTTCTTCTTCTTCTTCTTGTGCCTTTTCCTCTTCTTCTTCTTCTTCTTCTTCTTCTTCTTCTTTTTCTTCTTTTTCTATTTCTTATTCTCGCGTTTGTCTACTGCCAGGCAAACAAACAAAAAGGAAAAAAGAAAAAAAAAAAAAAAGAAAAAAGAAAAAACCCTCAACTCTACAGTATATTTTCTCTTTACATGCCCTGATTTTTTTTCCCTATTTTTTTTTTTCTATCTTTTCTTTTTTCCTTTTTTCTATTCTTCTCTCCATATCGTGTCTCCTACTCGACTGAGCCTTATTGCCAGATATTTGTCATTTTATAAATGCCAACGGTGAGGGTTGTTTTTTATTTTTTATTTCTTTTCTTTTTTTTTTTTTATTTTATTTCTTCTTTTTTATTTTATTTTTTTTTTGTCATTATTTTTCTTCTCTCTTGTCGTCGTCGTCGTTGTCGTTTTTATTGTTCAAACAATCCAGCTTTCACAATTTTTGTCAACTGATTAATGATAATACTTCATCTATAATTAATAATGACATTTAATGATATATCAATAAAAGAATATAATTTATCCGTAAATTGCAACTTCATCACACATACTTGATGTTTATGAATCTATTGAGATTTTTCTCGTGGTCTTTTTTTTTTATTAAATCTTGACTTTAATTGTTTGACATCTAGAATAAAAACCGATGGTGTGAGATTTTTAAATACAGAATATAATTTGTATCCGTGAAATTTTCTTTTTCTTTTTTTTTTTTTTTAATCATACTTACAACTTACAAATCAATTGAAATTTTTGTCAACGCGTGTAAAGGGTAGGGTGGTGGGGATGATTGTTTTAGCATGCGACATTGTATCATAATTATGTGACATAAATTATTATTCATTAAAAATTATCTTGATAGTTTTCGTTAATTGAGGGAATATTTTCTTCTGGAATGATACATAATAAAATTGGATGTTTATACGGGAAAAAAAAAAAAAAAAAAAATAGAAAACATATTATTCAAATATCCTAATATGGAATGATAATAGGCCAACTTGCGTACAATTTTGTTTAACTTATTTATGCCAATTAATTGTAAAACGTTCCATATTCAACAATTGTAACCGAATACTCGGTTAGAGCGGTCAGCCGACACCGCAAATAGAGCCGGCAAAGAGCTCGAAGAAGTCTGCCAAGACTCTGATGAAAAACATAAAATGCAAGAGTGCGGGCTGAATTTTCAATGAACCTGAAGCTCGAGATGTTCTTGAATATGATAAGGCAAAGATAAAAAAAAAAAAAAAAAATATATATATATATATATATATATATATATATATCAACGAATAAAATTCTGATGAATATAACTTGAAATAAAAAGTTTTATAAAAGTTTACTTTACAAGGTTTATGTTTTATCTGAAGTTTTGCGACGAAATTACGTTATTTACTTTTATACGTATAAATAAAAGTTCTTTTTTTTTCTTTTCTTTTTTTCTCCAAAATTATTAAAAAGAATATATTGTTAATGTATTGTCTATTTATTAATTTTTAATGATCAATTAATATCTAAAATTCAACATATATATATATATGTGTGTCTTTATAAATTAATTATGATATTATTCTAAAGAAAAAAATGTACTTTTAATTTTAAGATGATATATTATTATTATAATTATTTTTATTATTATCATTATTATTATTATTATTATTATTATTATTATTATTATTATTATTATTATTATTATTATTATTATTATTATTATTATTATTTAAAAAAGAAAAAAAATATACACATATACACATATACACATATATTTCATATAATTCATATATATAAAAATATACACATATATTTCATTGATTTTACTATACTATTTATATTTATATTTTTAAATCATTATATATTATTATTATTATTATCATTATTATTATTATTATTATTATTATTATTATTATTATTAATTTTAAATAATTAAATAACATATTATAATTGATTCATTACAGATGCGAGAAGTTGTACGACCTGCGACAAAGTATTAGCTGAATTGGAAAAAATAGACGATGACACGGATCACTTTGGAGTCGATTTTGTTAAGATCAACGATAAAAGAGTTGCGAAACAGTATGGAATTAAAAATTTCCCTGCCCTCACGTATTTCCGTGAAAAAGAACCTATCATATACGATGGTGAGATTAGAACCAATTCTTGCTATCTTTCTTTTTTTCTTTTTTCTTTTTTTTTTTTTTTTTTTCAAGCAAACGATACTACCTATTCTTAAAAAACAAAACAAAACAAAAAATAAATCCTACCCTCTATCTATAACTTTTTTTTTTTTTTAATACACTCGTAAAAGTACTTTAGCAAAATTGCAAAAAAAAAAATATAAAGAGAAAACAAAAAGACAATCATTAAGTTATATAAATAATTATTTAATTATATAGTATTTCGTATATTTCGTCAAAAAAGAAAAAAGATAAAAAAAAAAAAAAAAAAAAAGAAAAAAGATACATAAATAATTTAAATTATTTTTTCATATGTCATTATATACTTGTAAATAAAAACATTTCTACGAACGATATTCATCATCATTTTAGGAGACTTGATGGACGAAGAAAACGTTTTAGATTTTCTTACAAGTTTAGAGGCAATGGATTTACCAGATCGGATAGAAGAAGTAAATGCTAAAATTCTGGATAAAATTGTCGAGGATACGGATTTCGTAGCGGTTCTTTTCTGTGAGTTTTTCTACTTTCTCCATCTCTGTCTTTTTTTTTTTTTTTTTTTTTCATTTCTTCTCTCTTCCCTTCGTACAATTTAATCTTCTCATTTCTCGTTTCTTCTCATTTTCAATCTCATTCTAATCAGCATCATATCAGGAGAATCATTTCTTCATTATAAAATAAAATTCATCGATTATTATAAAGTAATTATATTATATATTATTATGATGATGATGATTATTATTATTATTTTTATTATTATTGTCATTACTTAGGAGAAGAGAAAACATTCAATCAAAAATGATAACAAAGAGATAATGTATCAATAGATCGATATTCAAGATGACAATCTACATAATACAACAGAATTGATTAAAAAATGTATTAAAAATGATTTAATATAAATATTTTTTTTTTTTTTAATATTTTATTAAAAAAAAATTATTATATATCAATTGCACTATTTCCAGATGTTTTAGACAAATTTCTTGTTTTTTTTTTCTTTTTTCTTTCATTTCATTTATCAAAATCATTGTCAAACAACAAGACTAACTCGTAAAACTATAATACAAGCCTGATTACAAGTCAAAAATCTCTGAAAAAAAAAAAAAAAAAAAATCCAACATAATTCAGGATAATAGCTTTAATTTACTGTGACACAAATTTTGCAATTGTCCTTTTCTTTTTTTTCTTTTTTCCATTCTCATATTCCCTGATCCTTATTCCGCGCTTTTTAATATACACTTTTTAACTTATCGTCCCTAAAAAAAAAAAAGAACACAATAAAATATATTCATCATAATTTTATATATATATATATATATATATATATATATTTATATAAAATGTTATTAATTGTTATTCTCACATACAATGTCTCACATACAATGTCTCACATACAATTGTCATACAATCTTTCCACCTATTGTCAGTATTTGTTTCTACTTATTCTTTCTGTAATAATTCTGTAATAATTTGTCTATATGTCTCTTTTTTTAAATTAATTAATTACCAATAAAACGAAGTGCGCTCATAACGTATCGCAAAGACCACGAAAATATATATATATATATGTATATATCTATATATACAGATATATAAATATATACACATGAATAAATAAACATATATATATATATATATATAAGCATACAGTTTACATTTGATAATTGTCTAATAAAAAGAAAACAACGCACACACTATTTACTGCTGGCATCATTAATGTTGCGTGACGAAAGTTGTGATTGAAAGTATTGAAAGATTTAATTACCTTAGAACAAATTAAAGATATAACGAGTAAAAATAATATCATATTGGATTAGGTCAATCAATCGATCGATCGATTAATTAATTAATTAATTAATTACTTATTATATATTTATTAATTATTTATTTATTAATATATTCAATATGATCATGACTCTCGTCGGGCAAAGCTAAATTTGTCTAATGCAATAATTAAAATTATGTTATGAATAAACTTTAGGAGCTTTGTAAATTGATCAAAATGTCGGACGTTTCGCTTTGCGACCCGTTGTTGCATTATGACAATACTTGTAAATATTACATACATGTGAAACGTTCTTGTGTGTGTTAATGTGGATAGGTCCTGATACGCAGCGGTGTGCTGGCGCCGGTTCTAGTAAGTACACATTCAAAAGAAACTCTACCAAATCCTTTTTTACCTCTTACATTAGAGCTTTCATACGTATATATGTATATATATTTATATGTTATACATGTTTTTTTTATTTTTATATATATTAACATAAATCTTGCTTTAATAGTTGATGTTTCCTTCGTCCGATATATTCTCTTTTCTTTTATTTCTTTTTGTTTTGTTCTTTTTTTTCTTATTTTCCCTTTTTTTCATTTCTTTGCTTTTTACGATTGCACTCATCATTTTTGTCATTAACAGATTTGATTTTTTTCTTAGAAAAAAAAAAAAAAAAAAAAAAAAAAATTAAATAAATAAATCCCATAAATATATGTCATATATAATGTGTCCTTTGTCCATTATTTGTTTATTGTTTGGCATCTATGTTATTTGTGTATGACTGTGTATACATAGATAGATGATACCTATAAAACACACATTTGCAAATTATAATTGCTTTTAACAATTAAATAACATTTCGTTATTCTTTGTCCTTTTTTTCATTCTTTTTTTCATTCTTCTTCTTTTTTTTTTCTTTACAGAACGTATATATTACATACATACATACATACATATATATATATATACATACATATATATATATATATATATATATATATATATATATGTATGTATGTGTAATATGCGTATATTAATCTTGAAGAATTTTAGTCAATGCCAAGAGGAGATCGCAACAAGAGCCAAGAAGACAATTTTTTATTTTTCCTTTTTTTTCCTTTTCTTTTTTTTTTTTTTTTTTAGGTTTTTCATTGTAGTTATTAGTCATCCCGGATCTATCAACAACAAATAAATCCATACTTATTCTCTTTTCTCTTGAAATATATGTACTTGTATTTTATTTTTTTCTCCAATTTATTCGCAATCATCAATTCAATCGATAAAGTATATAATATATTTTGCTATGTACGTATTTTTGTTTTTTTTTTTAAATTCATTGCACACTTTAATAATACATATAACGCAAGAGAAAGAGAGAGAGAGAGAGAGAGAGTGCGTCTTTTTCTTTCTCTCTTTTTCTCTTTTTTTCTTTTTTTTTTCTTTTTTTTTTTTTTTTTTTTTTAACAAAATACAAAAATAGACTAAAATTTGTAATCTATCGATTTATTTCAAATGGGACAGACAAGCCAGACTGCAAGAAATGCTTGAAGGCACTTCAAGAATTGGAAAATATCGATGACGAGGCTGATCAATTGGGTATTGGTTTTGTCAAAATTGCTGATGAACAGCTTGCTGAAGAATATAATCTTGGACCCTTACCGGCTCTAGTTTATTATAGACATCAAATTCCCATCATCTACGAACGTGAGTATCTATCGTAAATATTAAATTATAAATTTTTCTATTAGAAATGTTTCACTTGAAACAACGTTACACTAATAAATATTTCATTAATAAATCTTTCCTTAATATAAATCGTTAATAAAAAAATTATATTATATTTAATTGATCCTAATGATCGTATAGACGAATTAAGCAAAGAGGAAGACGTATTGGAATGGTTAGTAGCAAATAAAAGTACAGGCGATGAGGAAGACGTCATCGAAGATGTTACATCAAAAACGTTGAACACATTGATTGGAAACATCGATAACCTGGTCGTTTTATTTTGTAAGTTTATATATATATATATATATATATATATATATTTTTTTTTTGTTTTATCGTTTATACATACGCACACAGACACATAGGGACAGACAGATACCAAAATGTAATATTCTCGTTTATATAAATGAATAATTGTATTTATAATAGACGATCATGGTGACGAGGATTCGATGCAAGTATTGAACGAGCTTGAAAAAATAGATGACGATTTGGACAAACATGGGATACAATTTGTCAAGATCGACGATGAAAAAGCAGCGAAGGAGTTTGGTTTAGATTATGTACCAGCGATTGTATACTTTGAAAAGCAAATACCAAATGTTTATGACGGTAGGTAGGTGGAATGGAGATGATAGAAATACGTAATTATTTTTTCCGGTTACTATTCATCTGGTCTTTCTTGTTTTTTTTCTTTCCTTTTTTTTTTGTTTTTGTTTTTTTTTTTTTTTTTTTTTTAAATCTTAATTTCAGGCGACGTCGAAAACGAGGATGAGATATTGGAATGGTTGTTATCGCAATTGGAAAAGGATGAGATAGAAGATGTTACCGACGAGATGTTAGATCGTTTGATAAAAGATGGAAAAACATTGGCCGTTCTATTTTGTAAGAATTTTGATTATTAAATATCTTTCGATATTAAATATATTAATCAATTAATATCGATCAATATTATATATTAAATAATCCTAATTTTTAATATTAAAGAGATTAATTTTTTTTTAATTAATTCACTGTTCAATCTCGGTCTATATATATATATATATATATATATATATATATATATATATATATATATATCTTGCTAATTGTTTTTTTTTTTTTTTTTTTTTTTTTTTTATAATAAGATGACAACAACGATCGAAAGTCACAAAGGATTTTAAACGAATTGGAAAACATTGATGACGAGTGCGATCAATTGGGTGTTACATTTGTTAAGATCGATAATGCCGAAGAAGCAAAGGAGTATGGTATCGAGAAAATACCAACTATGCTTTATTTCGAAAAAGGAATACCAACGTTGTACGAGGGTAACTTGGAGGACGAGGAGAAGGTATTGAAGTGGTTGGAACAACAACAGAAGAGCGAACAAATAGAGGATATCACCAACGAGGTGTTAGACATGATTATTGAAAAAATGCCGCACGTAGCCGTACTTTTTTGTTAGTAATTAATTGTTAACAAGGGTCGTCTATTAATCGACCTCCCTCCTCCCTCTCCCTTTCCCATTAAGATACATATATATACATATATATATATATATATATATATATACATAGATAAAAAATTATATCTAATTACCATAATACCTTTTTCTAATCTTTATCGATATTCGTATATATGTAATTCTTTTTTCTTTCTCTTCCTTTTTTTTGCTTTCTTTTCCCTTTTTTTTTCTTTCTTTTTTTTCTTTTCTTTTTTTTCTTTTTTTCGTGTAGACGACAAAGATCAAAAGAAAAGTCAAAAGGTCCTTGGCGAGTTGGAAAATATTGACGACGATTGCGATCAACATAATATAGCCTTTGTCAAGATTCATGATTTAGATGAAGCTAAGGAATATGGAATTGAAAATCTTCCAACATTGGTTTTCTTTGAAAAAAGAATACCTCACGTTTACGAAGGTAAATACCTGAATGATAAACTATAAAAAATTTTTCACATCTTTAAAATATTGAATAAAATTATGATCCTATTTCATATATTTATCTATAGGTGATCTAATGAACGAAGATCAATTATTGGGATGGTTATTACATCAGAAAAAACATACCGAGATACCTGAAGTTACGGATGAGATGATGGAAAAGCTTATTGAAACTTCGCCGTATCTTGCTGTCCTTTTTTGTAAGAAACTATAAATATATATATATATATATATACTGTTTTAGATGAATAGTCTGGGGCCAAAAGTTCATACAGGTCAATTAAATTCTCGCGAGAGATTTTAGGTTGATTTTAATTTTTTCTTTTATTTTATTTTTTTCTTTTAAATCGTAAAACAACAAGCTTAGGAAACTTTTTACAATTTGAAAAATAAAAATTATCAACTTTTAATTATAATCGTAAAAATTACCAGCTTAGGATATTTTTTACGATATGAAAAATAAAAATTTTCTTCGATCTTCAATTATAATATTGAAAATCATTTATACGAACCTATTGATTCTCTTCGTTAATTTTTATTTTATCATTTTCTTCGAACATTAAAAGATACAAATTTGTGTTCGATTAGATGACAAAGATGACAAGCAGGATATACGTATTCTAAACGAATTAGAAAATATCGACGATGAACTCGAAAAGGAAGGCATCGTTATCATTAGAATGGATAATGATGCTGAGGCAAAGGAGTATGGTATCGATCATCTTCCTACTTTAGTTTATTTCGAAGAAAAGATCCCGGCTATTTACGAAGGTGATCTCCTCAACGAAGATGAAGTTTTGGAATGGTTGATCGAACAGAAAAACACTGCCACGATCGAAGAGGTCACGGATGAAATTCTAACCGATCTCATAAACGAACACGAATATGTTGTGGTGTATTTTAGTAAGTTATATCAAAAAAAAAAGAAAAAAAAATATATATATATATACATCATCTATGAGATAATATTATATTGTTTCTAATTAATTCTTTTTTTTTTTTTTTATCAAATTCTAAATATATTATAAAAATATTTATTATATTACAAATATTTCCTACGTGAAAATTCTTGTTAGATCAAAATAATTATTTTCCTTTTTCAAGGATCAATTTTTTTTCATATAATAAATATGGCTTTAATCAATTAAGATTAGATTAAATTAGAATATTAAAAATAATCGCCATGAAAATTCTTATTAGATCATATTAAATTAATTAATATATGTATATATATATATATATATATATATATATATATAAGAAATGTGTATATATATATGTGTATATGTGTATATGTATAAGAAAAATTTGTGATAAATTAATTTTGTTGAATAGGTGGAAGCTGCGACGAAGGTGAAAGCTGCGATAACGTTCTATTAGAATTAGAAAATATCGATGACGAATTAGACGAAGCTGGTATAATTTTCGTGACGACGGAAGATATGCCACTTGCCAAAAAATATGGTATTAAAAACTTCCCAACTTTGGCTTTCTTCAGAAACAAAGAACCTTTGATATATCCTGGTGATCTTGATGACGAGGACGAAGTTCTCTCTTGGATCACTGACGAAAATACACTGGAGATACCAGGGAAAATTGAGGAGGTTAATACCAAACTCTTGGAAAATATTTTGGATGAGAACGATTATGTTGTTGTTTTCTTTTGTAAGTATACATTATTCATACGTATACCTATTTATTTGCCTTTGTATCTATCTCACTTATAACATATGTATATATTTAATTTACGACACAGAGAGAATCAAAAGTCCTTAAACGGGTCAAAAGTTCATAAGTGATTTTAAGATCGAATAATTAATTTTCCTTTTGAGACTTTTTTTGAGACTTATAATTCGACGATCTAACAAAAAGAAAAAAAAAAAGAAAAAAAAAAAGAAAAAAGAAAAAAGAAAAAAAAAAGATTGAAACGAAAAAGTCTGAAAAAAGAATAATTTAATTTTTATCTTTACACGATTTACATGTTAGGTCCATTTGAAAATTTTTGAATCTTATCCTATACAAAGACCTATCTCTTATCTGATTAATTTTCCTTGAAATTATTCTCTTTTCCCTTCGAATAAATTAATAAATATAAAATTAACGCAGATAAGGAAGGTGACAAAAAGAGTCAGAAAATTCTTCAAGAGTTAGAAAACATTGACGATGAGTGCGAAGAGAAGAATATCGATTTTGTTAAAATATCTGACGAGGGCATTGAAAAGGAATACGATTTACCTGGGCTACCAGCTCTTGCATTTTACAGGCACAAATTTCGTCAGTTTTATACAGGAGACATGATGCACGAGGAAGCTATTTTAGATTGGTTATTAGATTTACGAAGTTCAACGCCCGATGTTATCGAGAGCGCTGATAGAAAAACATTACAAATGCTCATTAACGATGTAGAACATCTCGCTGTATTTTTCTGTAAGTTTTTCCTTTTTTACATTTAATTTCCATTTTTTTCTTCATCCTCTTTCTATTTTTCTTTCCCTTTTTTTTCTTTCTTGATTTATTCTCAAAGCATTACATCTAATTAATCCATCAAAAGAAAAAAAAAAAAATCTATAATATATATTCTTACGATCTATAAAAATTGATCGTTATATTAAAATCCATATTATATATAAAAAATAAAATGGAATAAAAGAAATTATAAAAAAAAAAAAAAATATATATATATATACAATTATATATATTTATATTATTATTATTATATAATAATTATTTAATTGATATATATTCGTATATAATTAATTTTTTTTATATTAATTTAAATAATATAATTAATATATAATAATAATATTTAATTATATATTATATTAATATATCCAAAAGAAAATAATATATATATATATATATATAATTATGATAGATTATTGTAATAAATTGTCTTGTTATTGTTTCATTTTTGTCTATGCTTAGACGATGACGATTGCGATACCTGTGCAGAAATATTGGAGGAATTAGAAACGATTGACGATGATACAGATAAGCACGGGATACAGTTCGTTAAATCGAACGATGCTAAATTGGCAGCCGAAATCGGTGTCTTCTCCTTTCCAGCATTGATTTACTACGAGACCGGTGTTCCAATCATGTACGACGGTAAGCTTGGTGTGCTTCATTTCGCTTGGTCATTAAATGCAGAGTCGAGAAAGATAGTCGGTGCAATATTATTTCATTTCCTACATACATACATATAAAAAAGAAAAAAAGAATAATTATTTCTACCAATATTATACCTCCCTACATATATACTTTTCTTTTGCCTTTTATTTTTTTTTTT